GGGTGGAGTACAGGGGGGGGCGGTGGGAGTTGGGCGAGCGGGAGAAATGGCGGTCCCGGGGGTTCTGGACACTGCCCTCCACGCCTGGGGGAGGGGGGAGGACAGTCCTGTCGGTGACCAGGGGGGAGTTTTTGTAATAGTCCTCGTCATCAGACTCGGTCATCTCCCCCGAGCCGTACGCCGACACCTCAATGGTCTCCCCGCAGTCCTCCTGGTCCAGGGAGCAGGGGGGCCGGCCGTTTGGCAGGGGGAAGGACTCTTTGGTGGTTTCGAGCAAGGTGAGGAAAGGGCGGTAGGTGGTGGGGGGCGGGGGGATTACTGGGTAGCGTGTGGCGATGGATGGGGGGGCTAAGGAGTCCACCGTTATTATGGGCAACACTAATTCACCTCCTAGGACAAGAAAGAGACAACGAGAAACAGAGTGTTAGAGACCGGCGGGGAGAGAGCCCACCTCCAGATGAACAGAAGAAGAACACTTGAATGAACACCAGAATTAGAACAGCACTAACACTTTACATCAGGTTAGGTATATAAGTTTAGTCTGTTCTATTTAAAAAGTTAATATGCTGGCTAACTCTGAGCTGAATACATACTAGCTGCAAGACATAAAGCTGCACCTGTCCTGACCTATGCTGCATAGACCTACATGCTATATGACTAACACAGGATAAAAGTAGACTACATATTACACTGAACAATTTAACATCACTCTACACAGCCTATTCTTCACTGCTAATGCTAGGCTAACCTATGCTGACTGCACTAACGCTCAGTGTCTTGCTGTGATTGGTTAAATAAGATAGCAAACCACGAGGTTCAGGTCACTTACATCAACAAATTGGCCGCATGATTTTTGCATGAAAAAAAAATTACAAAAAGAAAGCTGTGTAAGANGTAATGTTTAGATGGATTTTAGGGACTTCTCCTCAATTTTATTGGCTCTAATGGTTTAAAAGAGGTGTCAATCATCACTTTGGCCCCCCTCGGTCGATTTTGATGATTGACACCTCTTTTAAACCATTAGAGCCAATAAAATTGAGGAGAAGTCCCTAAAATCCATCTAAACATTACCCATTGGTGAATGAGTGATGTGCAGCCAGAATGCCCCGGAACCGGAAGCTGTCATACACTCTAGTAGAATGATAGCAGCTATATGAAAACTCTGGTATTGACATAAAAATCGAAGGATGGATTATCAGTAATCATTTCAAAGTGACACAGAAACATTGGATTAACCATTGGATTAACCTTCAGCAGCGTTTTTATCATTTTAATGCCATTGAACACAACTTTTGATCAGAACAACAGCAATGGTAAGACTTATTTTCAGATTTGGTCCCGTAAAGCACATTTTGTTGTTGTTTGTTGTCGTTTCGCCGCGAGTTCTGATCGCTCAGGGATGATATGTGTGGAATCTGTGGAATCTCAGCTTGCTAATCGATATTTTGTTCGTGCAGATCCGATAAGTAATAAGGGTATTTTACCTTGAGTTCTGTGCTAAGTGCGTTAGCATTTTTTTGCTCAGGGCTAATTCAGAGCCTTTGTNAGACATGTTTTTTATATATTTTTATATATCTTAGACCTATGCTATTGCCTAAAAATAGCATGATAGGTGCACTTTAAATATCAGGTGTGAGTGCTTAATTTTGAACATTCTTGAGGTATGAATGTTTTTGTATGAAATGGTAATTCTCAGAAGCTCTATTTTAGTCTTAGAAGAATTTATTTAATTTTAATCTCACTAGTGATTTTGGCTGAGTAGGTGAGCAAAGGCAGGAGTCAGGTGTGTGTTTGTGTGTGAGAGAGGATGTGCTGTATGTGATCCTGTGCCTGGATATATCGTGAGGCCTCTCGCTCTATCAGTGTGTCTTTGATATATGATCCTCCGTCAGGGCCCCTGCAGCTGAGACGCTCATAATCATGTCCCCTGATATAAATCAAACCCTTGTTTGCAGCACGCCGACAGGATGGACAGATTACCACTACGCCTCTTTTTCATGTCTGTCTCAAAGTTATGCCTCTGGGGAACTGTGTAATTTAACTCTGACAAATAGAGTGTCTTCAACTAATGATTGTTTTCATTAGTAGGAGATATAGATTTGATCTTGGGTTTCATTTATGTAATTTGGCTTGTGACTGAACTTCTCTTGCTTTAAGTCAAACTCAATGCATCAAGTGCTAGGTGTTTTAGAAGTGCCACTTACCTTTCAGGATGTAAAGCTCTGCCTCAGAGGGTGTGTGTTACTCCCTCTCCTGCTCACTCAGATACAGGCATGCAGACACACACACAGGAGAAATGTACAGTGGAAATGGCTGATGTCATGCAAATGCAAACACGGATTGTGTAATCAATAACAGGAAATGCAATTTCCTCCTACGTGGTACTAAAAAAGTCAAATATCCTGCTAGCTTTGATTTAGACAGGAAACTTCTACCCTGTACTGATTGCCTGTGATGATAACATCTTTAGTGACATATCATCTAGCATTAAATTGGCAGAAACCCTGACAGAGTAGGCAGACACACAGCTCACGATTTTACAGCTAAACTAATTGATGGAGCGGAAAGTAGCTGCAATTATCCAAGACAACACTCACCATCGCGGCTGCTAACGAGCAGCGAGTATGGTAAACCTTGGGACTCGGTTCTCCATTTTGTGCAGGAGATTAGTGATGGATTCAACATTTTTGTGGATCTTGTCATTGTAAAGCTGGACAAGCAAATACATTTCAAATAAGCATCCCTAGTTATTTCTGCTATTAGCTATTTCTGCAACTTATTAACACCCATTTTTACAAATATTGTAAACAGGAAACTTTGATTGCCTTAGTAATTATGATGGGTGCGAAGAAGGGGAGTTATATAAGTATAATCAAAGTGTAAAGAGCAACAGTTTATAGAGGAAGTCAGGGTGGATCGTTAGCTCGAACATCTTTTTGAAGACAAATTAAGTTACGTAAAATTACGTTTACTTTTATACTTTACGTCTTTCACGTAACTTACAGTATATTATTTATGCCAATTAAGTTTATTTTGTAACATGTTACTCACATGACTTACGTCTTTTACTTACTTGTGATGATTCACAACATGCGCCTACCGTTTCAATGCTCTTACGGCCCGTCCACACGGCGGCGTGCGTTGAAGCTTCAACGCTTCTTCCCGTTCACTTTGAATGGGGTGACTTCACGCAACATCTTGCAAAAAACAGCGTCTGAGGGCTTCTTAATATTTAATAAGCTATGAATGTGTCATACCCACTTAACGGGATGAAACAAAGCTACCAGACAATATTAACAATTTTTAGCTAAACGAAACAAAAGGGTAATAACAAAGGCTCTGAATTAGCCCTGAGCAAAAAAATGCTAACGCACTTAGCACAGAACTCAAGGTAAAATACCNGGGTGGGCCGGCGGCAGCAGCACCTGGTCCCGGGTGTTCAGTTTCCCAGCACATCAAGCCGGCCGCCGGCGGCAGCAGCAGCAGCAACAACAAGATCCCCGCTGGGAAACTGAACACCCGGGACCAGGTGCTGCTGCCGCCGGCCCACCCCTCCTCAGACCCGGGACACCGCAGAGTCCCAGGAATAACATACCCACCCAATTTCCCCCATGTTCCCACTCCAGACCCCACGTCTCCTGAGCGGGGGCTCCCGGGCGCCGTGGAGGTGCAGCAGTCCAGCAGCACCACGGGCATGGTGGTGGGCATCGTGGCCGCCGCCGCCCTCTGCATCCTCATCCTGCTCTACGCTATGTACAAGTACCGCAACCGCGACGAGGGGTCCTACCAGGTGGACCAGAGCCGCAACTACATCAGTAACTCAGCCACGCAGAGCAACGGAGCGCTGGTGAAGGAGAAACAGCCCAGCACTGCCAAGACGGTCACCAAGAACAAGAAGAACAAAGACAAAGAGTACTACGTCTGAGAGCCGCCGCGACACACAGAGACAGACAGCAGCTGCACCTAGAGAAGGGAGGAGACCAGAGAGAGGAGGGGGAGAGAAAGGCAAACAGAACAGAGGGCAATTCATTTCCTACTCAGTATTGTCTGGTGGCCATACATTACCTATTCAAGTCTAATCAGAGGGAGGCAGCAGGTGACATCATGCTTCTGCTCCAGCATCTCTTAGATTGATTTGACTTCTTATTAAATGTTAACCACGGGGTGAAATTAAGGAAAGGCCTCACATCTCCACACATACTGTGCCAACGACCATGTAACAAATGCTGATAAAACAGTGATTTATGTCAGCACATGACAGGTTAATTAATATCTAGAGTACTGTAGAAAGCACCACCATCAGTATTTGTGTCATGGTCTGTCCTTCATTCTGAGGTCAGCTCGAGTTCCCCTCCGACAGTATCAACATATTATTTTCCACCTGTTTGAATGAGTAACTCGACGTGGCTCTGTAAAATCAATATACTGCCAGCTTACAGGAACATCGTGTCAAACCCACCTCCCCCTCTGGAAGTGTTCCACGTCTCTGATCTCTTACCTCCCGTTGCATCTCTCTCTCTCTCTTCCTCTCGTCGGATCGTGCGCTCTGTTTCTCTCCTCGTCCGGTGCTCAGCGGCTGATGCAACGTAAACTCTGCCGTGTTTCAAGCATGTAGTATTCATTTACGAAAAAGAGATAAAAACTGTTTTTCTTTCTGTGGAGTTTAAAAAAACAAAAAATACGATGATTGATGATCATAACAACGTTAAACGTAGCAATTATGTGAGATACCACCGCTCCAACATAACGGATGCTAACTTGTACGTTTAGCCGCCAAAAACTTGTTGAGGCCAACCCCCTTGGTCGTCCTTTGTTCCAGCAGATCTGTGTCATGTGTTTCGAGGCTCCGAGGCGCCTCCTAGTGGGCCAGAAGAGAAACTGTGTCACGTCCTTACAGTTACTAATAACCGAAAAACAGAAAAAACCTCCAGCAGTCAAGATGAACTCTGTTCTATATCATTATGATTATATGTATAGACGTTGCAGAAACTATGGACCTAAAGCTTGAGCGAGTGGAAAGGAGAGTACGCTGTTAATGCACAGCAAGACAGACTTTAGGATTTGTGACGTCAGAACAGTAACACAGCCCCCCCCCCTCCTTCATGAACAGTACGGCTGATGCAGCCATGCTGCAAGACTCCGTCTCTTTGGTTTGCTCTTTTCTTTTTTATTTGAGTCTTTTCTCTGGTGACATGAGAGACATTTTAGAGAAATTCCTAATTAATTATTGCTGGAGTTCTGCTGAGGAGAGACATACCTTGCAGCTGAAGAAGCGACTGTGTCTCCCCCCCCCCCCCCAGCCTGTCTGGACTCATTGTAGCTCCAATAGCTCCAGCCCCCACCCTCCCTGTGAGCACAGTGTGCTCTGATTGGTCGGGACGTTGTGAATTCCGTGGAGGTGTCGTTTCCTTGTTTAGCAATACACAGCGAACAGGGCTGCCAACACTCACGCATTGAGCGTGAGGGTCACGCAATTAACCCATATCTCATGCACTCACGCCACACTGTACCATGAAAAGAAAAGAAAAACCCTGAAAAAAGTTTGTGAAATGTCTAAATATTTGACTCTCATCCCATTACTAAGAGAAGTGTGTTTTCCCTGCTATCATTCCTGTTTGGAGAAAAAAATGACTATGATTCTGGGAAACTGAAATGTCTATGTATTTTCTTTTGGTAATTGAGCAAATGTGATTTGGATTATGAAATGAAACCATGAATTCTCCTTTTATTCCATCTGTCATCCTCGATCTAATTTTTCGTCCTGCATCTATTCCTTTTTCTCTGTATGGCACATCATGTGTCCCCATACCGTGTGGAACAAGGCTCTGTCCATCCTTCATCTCTTTTTTTTATTTCTTTTATATCTAAAATTCTGTCTTCACGGCCAGAGACGAGATGGAAGCCATTTCATTTGACAGGCTCCATCAATTCACTGTCCTGCCACGTTCGTCTGGTTTCTCCATCCCCAGCATACTCCTCCCAGTATCTTCCTGTTCTTTCTAAATGTTATTGTAAAGTGTTCCAGTGAGATGACTCTAAATATGTGTACATTAACAGAGGGAATACACTTGGTTATATACTTCTTACTCCCTGTGTTGCGTGGTCTCTTTATCGTGTGAGTGGACAGTTAAAAAAAGCAAACTCAACCCACCAAACCTGGGTTACACTTAGTTTACAAACTGCAGGTTAAAGCTACTATATGTGCAGTTTGATCATTTGGCTTGAGGAGTTAACAATAGTCTAGATAATCTGTGCTGGGAAAGATGTTTGCTCACCAGCGTTATTTAATCAAGCTAAATTCTAAAGTGTTTTGAAAATATTAAAGGAACTCGAAGATCGGATTCCTAACCATATGTGGTTTCAGTTTGAAGGCCTCTAAGATAATGGACAATTAAACCTTTACAACTTGCTGGAACTAATTTAATCAAGTATTAATTTGCTTTATGGTAGACAGTAATTCTGCAGTTTGAGACTTATACAAAGTGCTAGTGGTGAATATTTATTATCACTTACTCAAAGCGAGAGGCCTGGGACTTGCTGCCGTCTGAATTGAAACAACGGAAACAGGTATCTGCTAAACTGTCATACAGACTTCCTGTATTTTATTTAAAGCCACGTGGCAGAAGGACGTCTTTGTTCAAGAGCCAGGGTGTTGCTTCTCTTCAACACTCCTGACTTCACATCTCTGTCAACCTTATGTTTTACAGGTGTTGCTTGGCACACAGGAATAAATATATAAACCATGATACACACATCTTATTTAGATCCTCCTAACGAAGACATTTCAACACCTCAAACCTTATTTCTTGCACTCAATTTGTGTGTGAAAAGAATCTGCAGTACCTCCTTTTAGCTAAACAGACTATAAGAGTGCCATATGGAATATGTGGACATGGATTTAAACACGGCTAAATCATTGTGTTACAAAATAAAGAGAACAATCAATCCATTAGAATCCTCAAAGCTCCCCAACAGGAACAAGACGCAGCTACAGAGACTCCTGTTGCAGACTGATTCACAGGTGAGTGCTGACGTTTCAGTGGTGAGCACTGTCATGGCTAGATAATAAATAATATCACACTGTTTTTCATCAATATATTATAGGTCTCAGATATATACAGAACCTGTCTCTGAAGTGTTTGGCTCCAAATACCAAGCAGATCACGCATTGTAGCATCCCATAATCCCCTCTGTTTCAGCCCTGTTTCCAAAGTGCTGATTCTCTGTCTGTTACTTTAGATGAAAATAAGGAACCCCTCCCCACGCCCCTCTGAGAGATATTTGGTTACAAAGAACTCAATGGTGCTCTAGGAGGAGATTCAGGTGATGAG